ATGCCTTTTCTTCCTTTGCGTGCAAACTACGACGAAATGGCGGTGCAGGACAGTTGACATACTTTTTCGCTTTTTTTCTTCTCTATCTAGTTACTACCTTGTCGTCTATAAGCAAATCCCTAATTCGCTATCTGTGATGGCAAATGGTCGCGGGCCCTGCCCTTAATAAGCAATTGTAAATAAATCCAGTGAGTTTCCCGTAAGGTCTTGTCACCATCACCCTGGAGCAATTTATCTTACAAGGGAGGTCGTTCCCCCATTCAGGGCACGTGGGTGATTTTTCAAATGTCTTGTGTATATTTACACTGCTTATCCCTGGTCAGAGTAGGCGTGCATTGAAACTGGCACGGAACTGGTCTGATCATATCCGGTCTGAACACAGGCATCTTGTTCTGGTGTTGACAGAGGCGCGAACAATTGTGTCAGATGAAGTATCCCACCAGAAGCATAACCCTTTACAGGTTAAGTCGAAAACATGCCGCCAGCCTCCCGATGTCAGACGGGTCGAGTATTATAGGGGCACATACGAGGACCAACTTAGGTTCATTTTCGCTGCGCGCTTCTACGAATAAAAAAAACGTAAAAAATAGGTCGATGGTTCGGATCCCACCGAGGACAAAATTTTGCTTTTCTACAATTTTTCTTTGGATCCATGTTTGCCTAAATAATTGGTCCTAACAAAAACATTCACGATAAACTGAACAATCCTACTTTTATTGGAGCATTGTTTATTGTTATATGATAAAGCACAGATCTAGCTTCGGCGCTATGCCGGTGCAGGATGGCACTGGAACGAAATAAGTTCTAGATTTGTATGTAGGACTGCTCGAATTACCCTAGGAGCAAGTTTGACAAAAAATTTTCTTGACTTTTCGGGTTGTAGGTGACCGTTGGTCAGCAGTAGGTGAGCGGGCTCACATCTTTCCGTACAGCGTGCGTATCGTTGACGCCTACGGAATCCGAAAACCAGTAAGCAACAAGAATTGTCAAAACAGTTGTTTTTGGCCGAAAATTCGTTTTTAGTGGTAATCAGTGGTCCTGATCACAAATGTAACACCTATTCTTGGCGTCCACGCAATTTGGCGACAGAATAGCGGTGAACGTTCCCTATATTGGTGTACATAACGAATTCAGTGGAAAGAAGATGTGGCCCCAAATTGTTAATTGACACCGCCACCAGAAGTTACTAAACTTCGCAATCAGATCCACTGTATAGCCTATGAGGATCAGACGGTCCAGCTAACAATCTTGCTCCACATGGTGTGTTGGAACAAAATACTTGATAGCACTGACCTCATGAGGTATATGTCAGCTACTCAGATGTGCCATAATGGAATATCGAGTACACACAGGGCGGAGTTATATTCATGCGCAGACACTAATGGAAGCGAGAACAGCGAAATCTGAAAAATGCAAAAAGCCGCGATGCAAGGGGAGCCGAACCATCAACACCCCTCACTGTCCGCTTCGATACATTACCCGCACTAGGTCGCTTTTAGCATTCGTGCTCACTTTACTAGCCGTCTAATCGTTTGTATGAATACCATTTGCAAGAAGCCGGTTACCTTTGAGCATGTGACCACGTGGAAGCCACTTGAGCATTTTCAACTCGATTCAGAAATGCCTGTATAAGGACCCCACACTTCAGCAATTGGTAATTTGCAATGTGAGAACTAGGCCGTATAGAGGCCCAGAGCGAAGCAGATTAGAAACTTTTTCACTCGTTTTTTACCTTTCCTGGAAGCGCGCAGCGAAAATGAAGCACACTTTTCAGGTCCTTGCATGAGCCCCTACAATATGCAAAAAACCGTTTTCGAAAAGCGCACCACGCCCTGAACGACTCTTGATTTAGAGGATGAGCATTGACACTTATTCCATGATTACCGGGCGAATTCCCAAGTCACCTGATGCCGAGAGCTGCCACGCCACTGCAATTTTAGATGAAAGTAAATCGTGACGCTTTCAAAAAGATTGCCTAAACGGCGAAAAGCTTATGCTTGATTGTTGGAAATATTACTGTTCCCCAGATCTACTGCACTGGAAGTCGAGTTGTGGAATGGGCTGTTGATGAGGATTGGCGCGATGTTAGTTATTCTTTGGACTGGTGGCTCATTCATGTGGACATCATCAAATAAGCCCGTCAATGGGCGTTCGACCCGCAGCCAATCGGTCATAGATCGCTAATATTTCAATGTTCTCTCAAAACTCTTCTGGAACTGGATCAGCAGATTATATTCTCTGCAGGTTCTGTGATGTTTGGCCACTTGAAATTTACAGATGTTCGCAGTTGCATCTAGAAATTCCTTCATTTTCATTGCCGCGCGAACAAAAGATTTGAAAGAGGTCGAGTCGGAGCAAAGGTTATCAGACACTGTGGGATGTCACGGGCACAAGAGTCCAGCCGTGACTTACGAGATGGACGCTGGCCTATGACTCATAATGACCTACACGTTTTCAACGAGTATGTTAGATTGGCTCAAAGTAGGTGAATTAGGGTTTCGGTAGTCGGTGGCCGCCATGAAAATGTATAATTCGTACAAACCGTTCGTTAAGGAATCTCCCGCGGCATGCTGCGGTATGGAGCGCACCCTGGGTCGCGGACTATAAGTAGCTGGCCTGCGCTGGTAGCCTGCAGTGCGAAATAAACAAATCGATTTCAAAGCATTGCAGTTGGATTACGACTCTTTGACGAATGCGCGAATCATCGCCGCTGCAGTGACTCTGTCGTGGAACTTTTACTTCCCTAGGCTTTCTGGTTTTGAGGGGCGATGTCCAACTCCCTTCCTTTGAGAATGCTTGAGTAGCAGGGAAAAATCCTACTACATACATATATAAGCTTGAGAAGGGCATCACAGCCAGTAAACTTGTGATACCCGTTTTTATTTAATGAAACACACTTTGAGTCAATGGATATAATCTCAGTTTGAAACGAGTCCAGCATGGATAAAGATGAGAATGAGCGAATGAGCGAGATGACCCAGCTCATCTCATCGGTCATCTTTCGGTTGAGCGTCTCTGGTACTTGGTGTACTGGAGACGACATCATCAAGCTGCTGCTCTTGCACATAGTGTTTTTAGGCTTGAATTACCCTGGTAATCAGAATGTCCGGTCTCAGAGAGCAGAGCCGTGGTACTTTCCAGTAGCAGCTTTTTAGTCTGTTTTATTGTTTGCCTGTCCGGGATTTCGGCACCACTTACAAATAACTCGAGATTCCCGATCAAGTTTGAAACGAGTCCAGCATGGATAAAGATGAACGGGAACCAGTGTGAGCTATGATCGGCTCCAAAAACGGCGGGTGGGTGCTGAAATGGGTGATGATGAGCATCTTACAACTCGAATTATACTTGCAATTGCAGAAGTCGGAAATTCATAAAGACATTTGACAATCAAAAGCCATGCTTTCGAGAAGACGGAACAAAAACGGAAACTGGAACTCCGGATCCCTGATTGAGATTATCTTATGAGTGCCTGTTTTTCAGCAGCCATATAAGCATTAGCAAGAGCAGCTCGACCAGTTTCTTTATGGTCCAGCGTAGCGCACACTTAATTAGCAAAGATAAAACTCGGAACTAAAAATGTGAAACCAGCTAATGCCTCTCGGTTGACAGTCATGAGCGGAACACTCACCGAATGCTGAAGGCAGAGTTCGGCTGAAATTTCATGTTTCTTCGAAATGAAAGGATTGCTAATCTTCTCTCTTATCTCCCATTCGGTTTTGCCCTCTCTATTTCTTATACTGATTGTGGCTTTGAAAAAGGGGGCCCAGTCTTATCTCAAGACGCCAACTCCTAGTCGAGCAAAAAAAACAACCAACAACTCTTTCAATTTCTCCGAAAGACATTTTATCTCGCTGGTTCGTTATCGAATTGCTTCTTCAGGTAACCCCTAAACGTTTGTATTCCACGACCGATTCGTTCGATTTTATTTCTGTTGCCTCTATCTCTCATTCCAGAAAACGTTTTGCTTATCGTGCAGTCTTTGGTTCTGAATGGGCGGGACACAGGCCGTGAACGCGTTCGTCTGTGGGAGCGTGGCTAATTTGTTCCTTAAGCCTTGATTGCCTCAAATCGCCTCCGAATTTTATCACGTCAAACTTGATTACAAGCTGCTTCTCCTCCAGTTCTTTTCTCGTTTGCAGTTCTTTTTCCGCCCACATATGCCCGCTCTCCTACTGGGCCGGTTGATTGCGACTCCAGCGCCGGCCTCATTCTATGGTTTCTCCTCAATGTGCTATGATCTTCATCCCAAAGAACAATCTGTCTGCAAAAAAACGACAATAAATGAACATTGAGAAGGCGTGAGATTAGGAGCACTAACTCGTCTTATTAGGAATAAAGTACTCGTTTTGAAGTATGACATGTTACACTATCACTGCTTCGTAAATCTGGGAGAAATTTTGCTCATTCAAGCAGCGTAATTTCCACTCAAAGGCTAGGACCCTGGATGAACTTGTGCTTGATTTTTCCACAACGTTCTGACATGGTGTGTGAACCGCTTGTGGACAGAGTGAAATCCTAATGTGTGAATTGAATGACATTGTGTCAAATGCGTCAGTACGACCTCCACCCCAAATTTTCTTCATATGGTTTCCTTCGTTCCCTGCATCAAAGACCTTTTTTCTGAGTGTTCTTATTTCCTTACTCCCTCCCATTCTCTCAAGAAATTTCCCATTTTCTTCCGAAACTGGCGTTGAGCACAGGGAGGGGGCAGCAGGGGGAGGTAGCCACCACCAACCAATCGACTACTGTTTTAAATTATCAGAAGTAGTAGTTGTATGGTAGTCCTGTTGCGCCTCCAAACAGGGAAACAGATAGCGCAATTTAAACAAGAAAAATTCCGGAAAGTCAGCACCCAGGGAATTTTTACGATCGTCGTTGATGGATCACTTTTCAGAATGTGGCCTTTTCCTTCAAAACCGCCGTGGCTTTTGAATGTGATGCCCCAACAACTACAACGATTCAATACTATCAGAAATGTGATGAGTTAAGGGCAAAAGCCCCACCACTGAGGGGATTCAAGCCCGCACCTCCCGCTTATCGGGCGGTTGCGGCATCCACTACGCTACAGGGACCGCTCTCCTTCCAGCAGTCACACATCTGACGTGACGAGCGAACTGCGGCCTTGATCAGCGGTACAAGTGTAGATTCAATAGTAGTTGACTAATTAGTGGTAATAAGCAGATTTGGTAGCTCAGGCGGGGATGATTCGGGATTCGATCCCTAGACCGCGATCATCTCAAGTGGCGCCACTTGCCAGCCATAGTTGTGGTAGAAATTCTTCGGAATTAATCCCGAAAGCGGATCCTAAATTTGAAAGAAAAGATAACAAGATGCAGAGAGGGTAAAACAAGCACTCATAAGAAAGCACCGGCGAGATTTTCGCTGAACGTGTAGCCTGCACGGGTCAAAGGGTGGCTAGCAGCTAGCACACAGTCGAATGGAAGAACGGGAACTATTGCAGTATCAGCCTTGCAATTAACTAATTTTCCCAATTTTTCTGCTATAGCGCATCGCCCCATAGATCTTTGGTTCACACTGTGAGAACACCCTCGATGGAGTGTTTGAACAGTTTCAGCTCCTGTTGACCAAATTCAATCACCCTTTGTTCTCGGCTGTCGAGACAAGCCTAGTCGCTCCCTCACACGAAGCTCCCTTTCAACGGTATCCCGTTCCTCATGGGTAAGAGGAAACGGAGAATAAAAAGATTACCGTACCAGCTCTTCAGAGGTACTAATAGAGCGAAAAAGGTTTTTTAGCACAATTCATCCTTTACTGCCCCGGCCATGCGAAAGCAGGCCAGTTTTTGACCGACTTTTTTCCGTGAGCAGAATTGGCTAAAAACTTGTCCCCTGGGGTAATTTGACCTACTGAACATGAATATCACATCTGCTCGGCACGAGAACTCCTGGCGCTCGCGCAACAGGAACCGGCGAAAATACTCAAAACATCGGCGCCCGTAGCGCGGGCGCCAGGAGATTTTGGGCCAAACGGATGCGATATTCTTACTCAGGAGGAAAAACTACCCCAAAAGACAACATTTGAGCCAAGTCTGTCCACGGAGAAAAAATTCGGTCAAAAACTGGCCCATTCCGGATGATTTGGGCAATAAAGGGTAAATAGTGCCGGATTTTTCTCTTAAAGCCTAAAGACTAAGCAACAAGAACAACAACATGAGCAGGCAACTCTCAGGGTCAGCAATCAAAGATACCAGTATTTACGAATTTTGGCGGACAAATCTGGCCTCGAGACGGAGATGGTGTAGTGGCAAGTGGCACGGTTATTACGCACGGCAGGGAGTCAGATCCCCCGTGCAGAAACTCCTTCTACCTCCAGAGACGGTGAATCGGTTTTCGTCTGGGAGGATATGAGCTCTTACTTTCACATCGGCTAGCTCGACAATTCCTTGTATAGGCCACATCGCATTCAATAGGCCACCGCGATTCGGAATGGAAGCAAAATGATGCAGTATCCCAAAAAGGGCTGGATAAACGGGAAAAACGTCATCCTTTGTTTTTCATAAATGTGGCCCCTACAGAATAGTGTGATGATTGAATCGCTTTTGAAAGGCCCTTACGATTCTCATTGGAGGTAAAACACTGGCTCGTCACAGAAACCGATCCGCCGGTGGCAAATGCTTTAATCTTTTTTGTACCCGACATCGTCCGCATTAAGAAACAAAACTTAAGCTCACAGCTCACATTCCCTATATATCATACTAAAAACCGTTTTAGAAGGAAAGGCTGGACGGAAAATTCTGCATTATCCTAAGCAATGCCGTTGCGGGGAGCACTATGCCCTTCTAGGGGATCACCCGTCGTTGACCCCGTACATTGTGAAGTATAAGTGTTTCAGGTGTACAGTCTTTTTGTCTGAGGATGATGAGAAACATCAAGGGGGATGCATTTAAAGCGGCGCCCACCTTTTTCTTTCGACAAGCGACAAGACTGTATTCTATAGTTTGTATCAGTCGTTTTCCACCAGTGGTTGTCGCTTACCTATTTCAACATCTAGTGGAGAACGGGCTGGCCACCAACCAGCCTCACTGACACACCCCATCATCGGCAGCGAACAAGAACGTAGACTTCATTTATCCACCGTCATGTTTACCCCGGTTTCCGAGCGACGTCGGTTCCGTTTGTCGTCGTACTGCACAGTGAAAGAACTTCGTGGCAAGCGGTGGTCACAGAAGGAGTCCATTGTTCTCCCGAAGAGGACTAAAGTATGTGATGGATGTTGACGAGTGTTTGTCGTTTTCCGTGTTCCTTCCTCTTCGTCATCGGTCTGTCAGCGATCTCCCGTACACGAAATCTGTTTGTTTAGCGGCAGTCGCTCGAAAAATCGCCCAGTCCCACCTTGGATCGACATCTTGCGTTCGTCTTTCTTCGCCCCCTCCACCACTTCGCTAAGTGCACTGATGAACAAATTAACGCCCAATTCTTCGGAAGTATTTGGGTCAAATTCGCTGCGAATCACACTAGATATAGAGCAGCGTGAGACAAAATTTTAACTGTTTATTGATGTTTGTCATTTGCAAGGTGCCATAACACCTCTCAGCCACCTTTGAATTTATAAGGTTTTCCGAAGCTTGATATTCAGTTGATAAAATCATTTCGCTGCACCTGTGGACGGTACTTGTGAATGTTTTCTTGCTTTTCTTAGCATAACAGAGCAATTTTGAAATGCACTCGGTTCTGAATGTGGGATTTTCACACAGTTTAACAATCCTCAGTTTTCTCTTTTTCAATATTCAATTTCCATAGCCCTCATCTTCCTCAGAATTTTGGCAATACTTCTTTTTTGAGGAATTTTGGAGAAGGTATAGCATGGAACACGTTGCTGGAGACGACTTCGTATGGGGTTCATTATCTCACATTTCTTGCAGCTTTTATACGTTTTCTGGAAGGTCGCATTTGACGTTATGTTCATCAAGACCCTTTTTTCTATACAGCACTTTGCTTCGGCTCGGTTTCTCACTTATAACTTTGAGAATTGCCTCAAAGGCTTGACAACTGTGTGTCTTTTGCTTTCTAAGTGCACTCGAAATCTCTGAGATGTGGTGGGCGTGGCTGCTTGCTTCACTTAAACTGTTCGTGGCTGCGCTTTTTGAGGGACACTTTCATTCTGGGACATTTCGACTATGTATTTTTAGAACACACTTCAAAACGGTAGACTCTCAATATTCCACGAATCGTCCCTCCCACGCTACGTTCAAAAAAAGTACGTAGCCAGGCCTACTGCATGTGAGGGATGTAAGCGTAGTGCTGGTCGTTTTTGACAACTTGGAAAGTTGGAATCATTGACGGTAGTTTGCGAAAAACTCCACTGTGACGGCTTCCCTTTTCCGATCGATTCCCTGGTGCTCTAGTTCGCTCCGTATGAAGGGGCGTGTCAGGCAGTATGAGTGTGCCACGATGCCAAATCCGTTTTCTATGCGACAACAATTAGTGGAAAATGAGTGATATGCACGAAAATGAGTGATACGCACGATATGAAACAGTCTTGTTTCTTGCTTCAAACACTGACAGATAACCGATTTGGCACCGCGCCAAATTCATCTCGTGGGACACGCCTCTCCGCAGTAAACTATACTATAGGCTCGCATTCAATCCGAATGTTCCTCCGCTTTGGTACTTTTGCTCCTGCAGTTTTAGTTCCGGTCACCTCAGACATGTTTCTCACCACGAACTCTGAACATGAGATACCCTGTATGCGTGGAAACGTCCATACATTTCGTTTCTACCGGGACAAGTAAGGATGAAGTATGCCGATATGCATTTTTGCGCGCACGGAGGAACCCCTTGATAATAGTACCTTTTTCATTTCAAATGCAAAAATATCCGAAAAAATTCAGTACCCCCTTTGCACCCAACAATTAATGGACAGATCCTATTGGACACTATTGCAAGGTCTCCCGTACTTTCCTGCCAACCTAGTATATTCCGTACCCATACCTTAGAAACAAGCGTTAACCGTAGGTTATTAAATCATGCTTGCTTTCCTCTTATTTATAACGGTGATCATAAGATTTTTTTGATCGAGAGCTGCCAACACTACCAACCTGTCCTTTATTGAGATGTCGTCGTCGGAAAGAATTGAGTGCTACCAGTATGGCACTGCGTTTTATGGCATGCCCGAATATGCGAGATTTATAGGCCTTTGATGTTGAGGTGGAAATGACGGAGTAGCCGATGTAAAATTACAGGTGGGACAAAGGTGCCATGGGGATGGACGAATTTGCGATTCCAGTTATGAGAGGGCATATTCGTTTTATGGGCAGCTTACCTGCACCTGCTCATTTGCACTTTCTACATAGACAGTTGACTGTCCTTAAGGCACCTTTCACGCTTACCTAGTTTCCTCTTAGCTTGGTAACCTGATTGATCCTCCGCTGTGGTGTTTTTGCTATTCCAGACTCAGTTCCAATAGCCTCAAGCCTGGTAGTCCGCTTAATCCGTCCGAGGCATGGCGTTTTCAGGGCCTAACGTATTGCAAAACCTCTATGCATTCATAGCCTTCTTTTTTTTGATAATTACTCAGCGCTCATGATCTTAAAGGCAGCGCCCGCGTTCAATTTGATGAGTTATGGGGCTCAGACAGTGACAACAAGGTAGCAAATAGTTCATTAGTGAAGAAAAATGCAAAAAAATCATCGGATATGCCCTATATAGGACCCCACGCCGAGCTGAGGTTGTACGTGCTTAAGGCGAAGAGAAGGCGCGGCCGCACGAGTTCTCACTTGTTGGTATCAGCTGTTTTCCCTTATCACCTCACTCTCACCATTCGAAGTGGAGAGAGTTAGTAGCGGAACAACCGCACCATCAGGCAACCATTAGAAATGAAGTTGGGCGTAGTGGTCGCCAGGTGGGCGGGGTGGCCGACTCTTCACGAGCGGGTTAGTATGTCCACCATCCTCATAGGGTGAGCTACGATGGGAACAACAAATGAACGCGGGCGGTGCCTTTAAAGGCAGTTGGCACGATAAATCCCTACAGACGACTAGGATCAATACTCCTGGCAGGATAGAATTCCGCGACCCTGGGCAGGCGCTGCATAGCGGTTTCCCCGAGGAAGG